CTGGCAGGCGGCCAATCACAGTACATTGATCACTGTACATTCATTTCTCTTCACGCGGGTCTTTGGGTAGGATATGACTGTTACCAACCATACCCCTCGGTCTTCACCCTCTCGTGGCCACCCACGTGTGCATGCGCGCGCACGTGTATGTGTGGTTGTGTGTGTGTGTGTGTGTGTGTGTGTGTGTGTGTGTGTGTGTGTGTGTGTGTGTGTGCGCGTGCGTGCGTGCGTGCGTGCGTGCGTTACAAGTTTACAGTCCTGGAGCAACTGATTATAATATTTTTCTTCCAACCCAAGAAATACTAAGAGAAATGTAAAATAAGTTTAACTAAAAACAGAACTAAATACAAAACAAAAATAAATACACAGCAATATGGAAATTAAGCAGCTCATTGTGCCGGATGACATATGGGAGATGTATGTTGATTCTCAATTAGGGTGCGCGATTATAAGCAGGTGCCGCCTCCAGGAATACAGCGTGTCTCCTTTTATAGTCCCTATATTGAATAAATGATAGAATGATATATAACAAAGCTGAGGTACGTTTTGGCCTGTTGCAGGAGCTCGATTGTACATGGAATATCATAGTGTTGATTTTTATATTTAATATCAGTGATTAATTGTCCGTTTAATATTAATCCATTTATATTTAGTGGTCTAATTGACCAAGTTACTTATTTCGATTAATTATTCTTTTTATGTAAGGTTATGTATGTTTGTTGAGATGGTCCGTTTAACGTTATTTAAAAGAACTTTTTATTCGTAACGTAATTCGATTATTATTCTTTAAGTCTAAGTGTAAGAATAAGGAAAACTGTAAAAACATTTTAATATCTTATATCAGAATATATAATTCAATTTCTCAATCGTTCATAACCAGATGTTGGAAAATAACTCGGGCAATTCAAACTAATTTCCGACTGCTCCAGTAATCGTAATCTTATTTTCACGTTTCCTGCTAATTCGAGCGTTTTCAAGCAACAATATCTTACACAAAGGAAGCATAGTCAGGCTGGGGTTTTATCAACAAGTTAGTCATGACGAAGAGTACAATTGTTTCGCTTTCCAATCCTCGCATTGTGTAAGAGTTACATGATAAAATCAATCTGAAGACTTTTTTTTTTATTGTTGTTTTCATCCCTTTTCTCATATTACACCGCTTACAGGCAAACTGAACCGTACACTAATGTTTGTAAAACCAGCTTATCCGTCTCCTCTAATAATATAAACGAATAGGTTTATTGTCACCTTACATCAGCCTATTTTGTGCAGAAAAACTTTTGTGTTTCTATTATTATTATTTAAATTATATATCTAAATTATATTATGAGTTTTGTGAAGTATTTTTGTAATTAATATAAGGTATCTTTATGAGTTTGTTATTTCTTTAGAAATCGTGAGATGCGGTCTGGTGTGATGTAGGTTTCAGAAAAACATTTTCTTTATCGTCCCAACGTTACGATCTTTATTGAGATTATCTTCAGGGCTCGAAGTGTTTGTTTTCCGTGTAGATGTGTCATTATTGGGTGTCGTGTTGAGAGTGCCACTTCCAACACTTTGAGCACTGAAGATGATCTCAATAAAGATCGAAACGTTGGCACGATTAAAAAAATGTTTTTCTGAAACCTACATCACACCAGACCGCATCTCACGATTTCTAAATAAATATCGATTAATGGTCACTAATCACCACACATTTGTTATTTCTGTAACTAGATAATTTCAATCTAGTTTCAATCAGTCTTTACGTCTTTTGTTGCAAATAACCATTTTTATGAAAGTATCTGTTAGTAAATTATTAAGTATTTTTTGTTAAGGTACGTATGTGTACATATAGGAAATAAGTACGTACGGTATGAAACTGTTACAAGTCTTATCAGTAACGATAACGGATACATGCAAGTTATATTTATATTATAAACTATATTAGTTATAGTGGGTGCCCGCAATGGTTTAGGCGTTGACACGGCGCTCATCACTGTAAGGTGAAGGTCCCGGGTTCGAATCCAGAGGCCCTGAATTCCAACCAGACATACTTACAAATGGGCTTTTTTTTAAAAACACCGGCACCCTGAAGGTTTATAGGACCTCTGCTGTTGCAGACCCTCGTAAAAAAAAATATTACTTATAGCGTTATTTGTTTGGAAGAATGCTCTCGGTTTATCAGATGTCGATTAAGCCCAATTGCATTTTTCTCCCCCTTAACCCGAGGTGACTTATTAATTAGGGTAATTGAGGGAGATCCTGTGTACACTTCCTCCTTCGGCGAAATAAACTTTTTAAAAAAGAAGATCTCGAATAATTATCCATAATTGACGCAGTCGGTAGAACGACAAAGATGTTCAAGAATATTGAAACCAACTGTATCAACGATTAATTTGCCTTCTCGAACTTCATCAACCTACTTGTACCTCAGTCTAAGTAAGAAAGAAAGAAGGATTGGACATGGTACACTTTTTAATCATACTGAGAATCAATATTGATTTTATAACAAAACATTATAATAATATATTAATAAAAATTAATAATAACTTCAATTAAAATTATAGTTTTAAGAAAATAAAACTGTAATAATAAAAATTTTAAAAATGGGAAATTCGTAAGATTTGAAACTAGTACAAGATGGTATAACAACTTATAACGGTAATCCTAAGACTTTGGCCCAATTAAAGTGAAAGAAATAAACATTTTATTGAGCAGTGTACAAAACGGTTCTACTTTACAGCAGTGTTCCTATTCATAAGAAACAAAGTGAAGCGATGAAAACGCTACAAAACAGACAAAGCTAACGAGTCTATGAAAAATATTCAGTTCACTTCAAGAAAATTTTCAGATATTCAAGATCCGGCGAATTTAATCATAGACATTGTGAGGCATAATATGAACAAAAACGTTTTAACTTCGCTCGTTGAAATTTGTGAAAAAATTGATCTGTTCCGTTCGAAAATAAATATTTTAGAAGGCACAGAAGCCAACAAAAGTTACCTAATTCGATTTCAAGAATTAGTAATATGCAACAATTTCATAAGGTCGCTGAAAGATCCTGTGTACGCTTCCTCGTATATCGGTGGAGCTACTACTTTTTGAAATAAACTTTTTTTAAAAAGATCTCGAATAATTATCCATAATTTGTATACCCAATTTGTAAAGGCCCAACAGTTAAGGCATTAAAATAATAGAATAAAAAAATTCCATAGATTTAATTCATTTTTCTTCTGTATTTATCTTGGTTGTAGTGCAGACTTGCTATATAATAAGGTTTGTTAACATACCTCGTATGAAAAGCTTTCTTTTAGACTAATACTCTTTACTTTTTACAGATTTTACCTTCTTTGAGTGATTTCTTGAGCATTAATGTATGTACTTCTTCACTGTATTTTGTAACATTTTATTAACCATAATTTTATCATGAAATAATGTTTATAGTTTTGAATTGAATAGATCTACTACCTACTATGACATGCTTATGCGTGCTATCTACGCTGTGATGTTGGTATTCCATAAGATTTTATTTTTAAAGCGTAACTTCACAGATGCAGTGGTGCTTACAAAATATCTTGGTATGGCGTAAAAGAACAAAGACTTACCTCTTCTATTTTTATATTGCTTTTGTTACTTCCCTTTTACAATACGTCCAAAACATTTTTTGTTTCTTGAAATTTTTATTGCTTTGAAAAGTTTACATTACGCAGTTTTTAAAATATTTACACAATTTAAAAAAATGATACAATCTTAAAAGAGTAAAAATAAATGTGTGGTGTTCAGTGACCGTTAGTCAATGATTATTCGGAGATCGTGAGATGCGTTCTGGTGTGACGTAAGTTTTAGAAAAACATTTTCTTTATCGTGCCAACGTTTCGATCATTACTGAAATCATCTTCAGGGCTCAAAGCGTTTGTTTTCTGCGTAAGAGCGTCATTCTTGTCTGTCGTCACACTGGTGTGACTCTCAACACGACACAGAAGAATGACACATGTACGTAAGAAACTTCTCTAAAGCTCTCCGCGGCCATTTCATTTGTCGCCAGGAATCAACAAGAATGACACATCTGCACGGAAAACAAACACTTTAAGCCCTGAAGATGATCTCAATAAAGATCGAAACGATGGCACGATAAAGAAAATGTTTTTCTAACACCTACGTCACACCAGACCGCATCTCACGATCTCCGAATAATCAGTAAAAATAAATTTTAAAAAATATTCAATGTTAGACTACTTACGTTATATGCATTTGATTTGTTTATATTTACGTGTTCCGGGCTCAAAAAAAAATAGCAACTCATTTTCTTCGGCATAATTCAAAGATTTGTAAAATTTTATATGAACCATGTTATCAATCTATAAAAAAAAAGATTTCCGCTGGAATTATTACTATTATTCTCTATTGTCCTGTTTCTCGTTTCCATAAATTGAGTGAGGCATTTACGCTTCACTTCTTTTCATCTATTTGGTCGAATTCAAATTGCAGTTACCGTATTGTGCCACCATGACAACTGGCAAAACTATCCAGGATTGAAAATTCGCTCTATCCGGTATTATTTAAATAGGCGTACACATTTTAATCGAGCTCGTTTCAAATTCAAATCTGCAATATGTATGGAAATTGGTAGATAATCCGAGGTAAATTTGAGCAATTGTATATAAGCTAATATTACTTTATAGCTATGGTAAATTTTGCATTAATTTGCCGGTTTAGTTGATTGAAATATTTATTTGGAACCAATATAAGCTTAGATTTAATACCAGAAAAATATTTTCTTTTAAAAAAATCAATTTAATAAAAAAACTTTTTTATTGTCTAGCTGAAAATAAGCTTTTTATTATTAGCAAAATGCAAATGAAACGTTAAGGTTTCTTAATGCCTGTCAGGGGAGAAGACCCACGCGCGTTCGGGCGTGTGTAAAGAAGTGGCAGATTCGGTAAACAAATTTTCATTTTATGAATGAGCGATAGTATAAATTGATATAACATTAAAAAAACTTCTAGAAAATGGAATACCGTGAGTGTGAACGAGAATGATGACAAGAACAATGATTCCCTTCATGTCTGTTTGTCGAGGAGCGGCATGGCCCATCGGAGGTGGCTGGAGGCAGACTAACGGAATCGCCGCTCCCGCCACCCTTGACAGAAATACCGCCGCCCCTCAACAACCCCTTCCACGGGAGTCGACAAATTCAAATTTTCTACTTATTTTAATTAAAAGATCTTTCCAATTCCACCTTCTCACCCTTTAGATTTAGAAGGCACAAGAATCCAAAATGGAGAACCGCATTAAAAATACATTTATGCAGAGATAACGAAGAAAATGAAAGCTTAATTTCCAGTTAAGTTTCACTCGCGATCTAACAGCTATGTTATTTACTGGTTTTGAGCTAATATTATAAAATTCGTTTCATAAAAATGTCTGCCAAACAGTTAGGACAAAACATGATTTATTATGTTTCAGTAAGCCAATAATAAATTGTGATCAAGATTAGAAAGCTCAACAAAAAAATCGCAACATATTAGCTTTACATTGTTTAGAGCAATAATATTAATAAATAATTTATTTTCCAAATTATATAATTTATTACTGAACTATTCTAAACAAAATTGTTATAAAAAAAGAATTAACATAATGATAAAAGAAATTGATTTTAAATTGTTCAAATACGAATTAATCTATTTAACTACATGAGAATTCCCAGTACCAGCTATGTATATTAACTAGTTTTAACTGCCGTTATATTAAATTATGTCAACACAACATATAATGTAGATTAAAGCTTTATACCAAATTTGCACAAATGTTATATAAAATGTAGAACAATTACGTAGGTACATCTCCATGCAAGGAAGTAGCATAACGCTATCTTGCACGGTCAAAAAAAAATTGTAATCACAAGCAAACTCAAGAAATATGTACGTTTATAATTAAGAAAAAATGTAAAATTCATAATCATGTATGTATGAGGACAAAATAAATAAAATAAAAATAACAAACAGTAAATTACATGCTCAGTTTATATAATGTAACCAATGTAAAAAAATCTTAAAATCAACGTTTTAGTAAAACTGACAGTATGAAAACTTCTACGTTTTAATTGGAGCTGTTAACCCTTTTAAAGCTAGAACTCCTATAGCTATATGTCCTATCTTAGACATACTTACTATTTATCAGCTTCAACTTTCCGAAAATGTAATAATAATTAATTATTAACTTATTAAATTTAACGTTTGTTAGTGACACAATCTATACTTCATTAACACTCACAAATCGTGCCGAATAGACAAAGGGGACAGTATGAGGCTGTTAGTTAAAAACATTTTTATTTTTTTATTTCATTTATTTATTGCTATCTGTACAAAATAAATATACATTGAGCATATAGTCTCACAGAATTGGCAGACGAGGAGGCAGTGGGGAGAGAAACCATCCAGTGCTGGAATTGTCTTTTATTTAATTGGGAGGGTTATTATAAGTCAGGAGGCCATCGTCATTTTAAACGGTGTAGTGGACGTTGAAGAAAAAGTTTGGACCAGTGGATTAGGGAGGAAGGATAGTTTAGAGTGGAAATTGAGGAAGCGTGGTTGGATCGGATCCTTCACTACTGGGAATTTTAGGTCTTTATGGATCATTTGATAAGTGATGTAGAAGGGAGCATTGAGGAGAACTTCGGATTGAAAGAGTTGGATTCCTTCGATGTTGGAGGATTTGTCCAAGCCTCACAGTTAGATTCCGTAGGTGGCAATAGATTTGATAAGTGTTTTGTAAGCGATTAGGATGTTATGTGTTGGTTTTTGCTCCCACTATGTGTCTGAGTAGTCCAAAACTTTTATGTTTTTGTTGTTTTAATCTTGTATGTGGGTTGCATGTAAATCTGCTATCTAAGTAAAGCGCAATGTAGCGGAATTGGTGGGATGGTGGTATTCCTTTTTGTTTATGTGCACTGGTGGGAAGATTAGACGTTTGAGCGTAAGGTAACTTGTTGACTTTTTGCTCGTTCTACTTGATCCCCCACCGAGTGCACCAATCGGTAATGAGGTTCAGAAGTTGTTGGATTGCTTCTATAACTAGCTACAACTAAAATTGCGGCGTCTTCCGGGATAGATTTGTGATATGTGTGTGGATGTGTACGTATATCAGCAATGTAAATGGTGTAGAGACCTATGATACGTCCTTGCGAAACGTTGGATTGGAACATTAGCATGATGGGTGAAAAAGAGGTTGCCGATTTTCCCTTTAAACCAGCGATCCGAGGGGAAAGACTTCAAGATCAGACAGTCGGTATGGGAAAGGATACCTTTTAACTTAAAAAAGAGGCTGGTGCCACATTCGGTGAAATGCTTCCGAAACGATCAGAAATACGGCTGAGTAGTAGTGTTTGTTTTCTAGAGCCGAGAACATCGTGTCGGCTACTCTGAAGCACAGCTGAATTAGAATGGAGGGGCTGAAATCCAAATTGATGGTTAGGAAGTTAAAAACTAAGCCACACAATCGATGATAGATTATTTTATGAAAGTATATCGATACTAAAAAATATAACAATAACTAAATAAATAGTAGTTATAAAAGTTAATTCAGTTATTCTATTCTATAAGGAAAATATCTACCGTGTTAATAAATTATTGAACCTTCGAAAAAAAGTTATTATAAAAAATAATAGTAATCATTCGATTAATATTCAGAATATCTCACAAGACATATTAAATATTATTTTTCATCCGATATTTTCTCCACAAATATGGTATCATCAGGAATTAAAAAAGAAATAGTCTAGTTCTTCGTGAAAATCAAATGCGCAATATTTAAGCATCACTATTTGATGAACTAAGTTTTTTAAAGAGATTCGATTTTTTCCGGTGTTTTAATTACATTGTCCATAATTGAACAGTCCATCATTCAGAAAATTGCATTATGCCATACTTCAAAAAGCTTGTCGCCTGTTCAGAAAGCAAAGCATGGTGAGTAAATAGGAAATATTTGCTAGAGTTTTTGCCGATTAACAAACAAAAGCGTTTCGTGAAGAAAAATTCCTCTATTTCTATTCTACTTCTGTTTTCTTTTTTGAGAAAAACGATCGCATTTGATCTCGGTACATAATGATTCATTTAAACGCAACATCGTTCAAAATCTAGCTTTGTATCGCTAAAAGAGAGTCATTTGAATTTTCCAAAGATCGCTATCAAAACGTATTGCGTTACAAAGTACAGGCCACTATCTTAAAAAATGATCAGATATCTTCTCGCATTGAACCAAATCACAAACGATTTGTCTGCCGTTGAGTGTGGAATATTTCCTCCCTTTGTAAGCGTTCTTTTATTTTTCTGAACCCGAATTTTCTTTTATTGTTTTTTTAAATATTTTACGTACTTAAATAAAAATGTTGTAATTAACAGTAATCAGTGATAAAACATACATAAAATCTCCATCTGTTTTTATTATATAATTATTCATTATATATTAGTGAATTTATGTAAGTGTGGCACTTCTAGCATCGTCATTCAGAAATATATAATGGTACTTATCAATTCCTTATTAGTACTTAGTAGTACAAAGACCACTGTTGAAGAATGTTGGTTAAGACTAGGCCGTTTGAAGAGATCACATTGACACCTAATTTTGAACCAAATCCCGTTTATGAGCCCGGCTTGCAGAGAAAGGTTGCTCGGTGTGCCCCACCTAATTGAAGAGTGCAATTCCTTGGCTCCATATTGAAAGTGCGTAGGAATTCCACTTGAAAATTGTGCTTGAGCAGGGCAACGAATATTTAGGTCCCCTGTTCCAATACTTAGAGGAAACAAGGTTGTTTTATTATATATAGCACTGATAGTTTCATGTCCCTAGCGCATATTGAGAGTGATGTATTTATTAGCGTGCAAACGTAGTGAGACCATCAATTAGCATAGTCATACAATAAGTGTAACAGGTGATTGAAAAATTTCGAGTACTCCTCCACTATAAATGAGTGAATGCAATGTACATAGGAAAGAATATATTTAAGAATGAATGAGGGAGTAATTGCATAATTTAGTAATTTACATCTATATGGTCTTGGTTTTAGGTACTGATTGCGTTGCGGTCTGAAATGGCGTAGCTGTTGATAATTTCCGAAGCCCAACCTCGGCGACTGGACGGATAAGCCCGAGAACTGACCCCGGACTCCTAACCCGGAATAGGTGATTCTCGAGGTCTGCTGATAATTTATTATAAATCACACAAAAGCTGGAATTGCCATTGTACTGAGAAGTGACCTCTGATAGGCTTAACTCTGTGTATGTTCACACGGCTGCAGATTTGAGCTGAAATAATTCAGTAATAATTATTAGTTAATAATTGCATAATTTACTAATTTACATCTATATATGTAAATATATACAGAGTACATATGTATGGTGTAGTCGTTAGATAGCCCGGCTGAATTTCTTCTTGAACGAATGACGTGTTCAATAATTTTTGGTCTTTTTTTAAGAAAAATTTTACAGAGTACCTCAAGCCCAATTTAACTTTGGACTGAGGTGTCCTGTATAATTTTCCCCAAAAAAGGTAAAAATCTGAAACTAGACTAAAAAAATATGAAACAGGTTTTTTTTATTATTTATTTAGTATTATTATTTTTTATAGCGTCATTGGTTCAAGATAAATTCAGCCGGGCCATCTAAAAACTAAAAAGGACACTCCGTATAGTCAATTTTTTTGCATATCGTCTGACCTGTGGTTAGACTTGGGGCTCGGCGGCGAGCACAGATCGCTGTTCGAATATCTCAGGGCCATAAGGATTTTTAAACGTATACAAGGTTTTTCAGTTGTTTTTATGATACTTTACCGTAATAAATGTGATGTTTAGCGTGAAAAGAAGCTCCGAGGTATATCGAGTACTCTGAATGAGTGTATGTAACCAGACAACTATGTATTTGTTGATGATGGGATGCCGGCATCGTAGGAATACTGCCGAAACCTGGCGTGCGACTCCGACGTACGGAGCTGTGACGCCGTGCTTGGGCCGTTTTTATTTGATTGTTGAGGCAGCCTGAGGTATAAACGAAAGGTCGGCATGCTCAAATGACTGTAGTTTAAAAAATAAATACTCGTGAGCCACC